GTTATATACACAAATAATTACTGACATAACCCGGTTGCCTAAACTCTAAGTAGGTGAAGCAATGCACGAAGTTGAGATTTAATAGAAGTAGAGTCCCGTAACCATTTGGCTAACCCTATCAATAATGTTGGAGTCCTGACGTTCTTTCATGTTATGATGAAAATTATAAACTGAAACAACCAGTCAAACAGCGGTAGTATTCTTATATCAAGAGTGATGGCTATCCCACTGGAAGTAGTTGAATTACAGTTCCAACATGTGAATTATTGGCTGAAAATATGTTTACTGTAATAACTAAGAGACCTGCTTAATCGTTTGGGGCATCTATTTGGAAACTGTGAAAATATGGAGATAAACCTTCCTGTTTCACACTTCGTTCATTTGAATAATTATAGATGCTAACCAAATGTTTCTATGATAAGCTTCAGTTGGTCAGTCAGTAACAACGTAGAACTTCGTACGTACGTACATCAGTTCGAGTTGCCACACCACATTAGCACAAAGATGCAGTGGTCGATTCAAATCCTGTAGTGCTAGATGTAGTAAAATTATAAGCTGTAATCAGAAAAATTAGGGTTTGAAGATGTTATTCAAGGAGTATAATCCAGTGAAATAAATTTGGAAAGAGAAGAAAGAAAGGGACATGAAGAATTCAGAAGATTAGAATTTGGGAGAACACAAAGAGTGGATGCACCTGCGCCATTGCAAGGATTTTGAGCCATGTGATTCAGGGTCTCTAACCATCGGTTGCTATCATCTCGCGGTCCCCAACCAGGTAGTCTACACCTACCAACATGACTCAGCCCACTTGTCAGTGACTTCATGGACTAGTGCCATGCTTTGGTCTGGCCGCCTCTAGCTTTCTTCCAACCCACTTCTATACCACTGAACATCACACGTCGAGGCAGTCGGTGGTTGTGTTAGGCATACGTAACACGTGTCCCAGCCATCTCAACTGATGAAGTTTCACTACTTCATCAATTGATTTGCCATCCTTATCTAGTACCCGTTTCCTAACAACTGCACTACTTACTCGATGGTCCCAGGATATACGAGCAATATTTCGAAGACACCTATGATCAAATACTAGTTATCTACGAATATCCTCTACTCTTACCGGCCATAATTCACTGCCATAAAGTAATAATAATAATAATTTTATTCTCAAATAACAGTTTGTTACATGAGGCAGAACGAACTGCTGCACAGTAAACCCGTCTTTTGGTTGATAGACAGGTATCTCGCCTACGCCATAAGTGACGCAAGTTGGTAAAAGCTAGTCGAGCCTTCTGTATCCGTGCTGAGATTTCGTCACACATCAGACCACAATGACTGATGAGACTTCTAAGATAAGTGAAGCGATCGACACGCTCAACTACTTCACTCCCTATCATTAGTTCGGATGTCGATGCAACCCAATACTGAAGTAACATTTTGCATTTCGAGGGGGAGAATCGCATTCCGAACATGCTTGCATTGTTACTTGGAGTGGTCAGAAGACTCTGCATTTTGTCAGCGTCTTCACCAAATAAAACTATTTCATCAGCATATTCTACGTCAACAAGTGAACCTCCCGGTAGAAGTTTAACCCCTGGGAATTTAGACGAGGAAAGTGTTATCTCTAAAAGTACGTCAATGACAAAGTTGAACAAGAATGGAGAGGGTGGGCAGCCCTGACGAACACCACTATGATAAGCTTACAACTTTTCATGACAAATATTGTGAAATTCAAAAAGAAATATGTTTTTGTTTATAGAACATCTTTCTTCTTATCTACTTTTGAAAGAAATGAGATGCGATGGGGATTGGGATTCATGGATTTAGTGCATTAAAAGAAAAGGGAAAAAAAGTGATTGTGTAGTTAAATTAGTTGAAAATTTTCGCAACTCAAGATGAATGACAAATGGTGACACTATTGAAAAACTTTTCTAAGATACATTATATATGTGAGGTAGAAATTTATTACCATATTAAATAACTGGTGCTAAGAATATTTTTTACTGTAACAAAATCTATAGTACTGAATAAAGTAACTTATATTAACAGTCTAATATCAAGAATATAGATGTGGGATACATTTTTGGCAAATTAGTTGTGATGTGTTATGATTACTGAAATAAAAATTCCTATTGTTAACCCTACAATTTTATAAATAATATCGATTATAGCACATACCAATCACTTATGAACTTGTTTTATCGCAAAATAAACAACACAAAAATGGTTGAAAGGTATTTTATTTCGGTAAAACAGTGAACATGGGAAAATATTTACAACTATAAATGTTTAAAATTGTGAATAAAGCCAAAACAACAATCGAGGTAGAATAATATGAATTCATTATATTTCATGGCTTTTTATCAGCTACTTACAACCATATATGTATTAAAGTGTAACGTCAACAGACCCCCTTTTCTCAATACCTTCAACTGAATTTACCAATTAACATGTACATGCCAAAGCATATGCATTGGAAGAACAAAGAGAAGAGTACATGTTTGCATTTCCGAGCACGTTCTAAAGAATTTGAAACTGAAGGGTGCAATAGCTCAGCATTTAATTCATACAGGGTACATTGTTGACATTCATCAATCCTTAAAAATGCAGCGTCTCATCGATTCGCTGAAACAGTAGCAATTAAAAAACTCAAACCGGATTTGTATTCAGAAAGAGACAGTCACCAACTTACTACAACCTTGGTAAATTGGCAACTTTGACTAATATCATCTGGAACTATGATTATTCAGTATTTATTTTTGTTATACAATCTTTGCTAGACTAATTCTCATTTCATAAACACCGAAACCATTCTCTCATTTGCCGGCCTTTTTTAATTACTCAATTCTCTTAACGTATGTGAATTCTTCAAATCATGTCTAATTATTACGTAACCCTTCAATTTCTAAACCTAGACAATAACAACATCGTTTCTCTAAACTGTCTATAATTATTTTCAATTGATTCGAAGCTCTACTCTTCACAACTTCTATAATTATCACACGATTTATCTATTTCCGAAATTTATTTAATTACTACATCATCCCCGTCGCCCATTTTGTTGAATTTCGTCTCCAAACGACCTTACACCTGTTCATGTGCATATATATGTATATATAGTTATTATTGATCATCTTTGTTCTGGTTACTTCCGTCATCAATCTTGGTTATTTTATATTGATCATATCTCAATGCTACCACTCTAATATATACATAGTTGTAAACAGCTGATAAGAAACCAAAAAGTATCAGGAACTCATGTTATTCTACCTTGATTGTTATTTTGCCTTGATCCATATTTGTAGAGGAAACCAATTACATGAAATTTTTATTTATGAGGAGAAATGGGATAATTGAGCGAACAATTTATAAAAATTAATGTTCCAATTCAACTTAATTAAGTGATTGTCTGTAAGGGGTTGTGGAGATTGTTGAATTTCGTTAAAATCATGAACTGATCAATGTTAGACCACCACTGGAAACCTAGAAGCACTGTACAGTTGTTTCGTCATAGTATGGGACTTCTCAGCAGTGCAATAAAAATACAGTAACATTTCATCACTAAGAGAGTGGATATATTGTATATCCGTATAAAGGGAACCATTTTTGAACGATGCTAACTGGTTTGTTGAACAATCCGAAAGTAACGAATGAGTTAACAATCTTACTTGCCTTTACATTTCAGTGACTTGATTATGGAAATTATCTATTTAGGTGATAATGCATACAATGAATTACGTAGACAGCAACGACATTCTAACTCCAGTCCAATCAACATGAATATTTCACGCTTCAGGAAAAGAGCATTGTAAGTTGGGTAGATGTTGGTAGTCTTCTCCGTTTTATTTTGAAAGAGCACTGATATTTATGGGTGTAACAATATTTCATATTATTTGCTATGTATAAACAATTAACAGCGCATCATAGCAGCGCAATTCTATAGTCGATTATATTCAAACTATTAGTAACGGAAATTCTACGTAAATTTTGGCAAAAAGAAAACAAATATCAGCAAGATTGATTCACAGTGAATAGGTTGAATATTACTGTCATCAAGTAGAATATGTTTATTGATTGTACAAACAGATTTATTTGCCCAAATTTCAAATCATACAAGGACTATATCCTGGTTACTTAAACCCGAAGTAGGTCAAACTCCGTACATATGAAAGACAAAGTTATTATTATTAACCACTGAGCACATTCCTACATCACCAGTTTCAATACTTTCACGTATATTGTAGTTCAATCGAATAGAGTTGCACTAAAGAATTTAAAGTTTATATTTTTTTACCTTAGTGAGATATCTACATTACTTGAAAGTCGTAGGCACGAAAATATTTAGAGACTGGCGGAGGTGTAATAATTACATGTTTTTATCGCTAGAAACAATAGTGGATATACGAATCTTTGACTTATTTGCCTAGTAATGGTAGTAGTGTAAGTTTTATCACGGGGTACTTGGGTATGGACCCCATCTTAAGTGTGAGGACTAATGATACTATCCGATTGCCTAAGCTGAAGTAGGTGGAGCGGGGTTGGGAACTACGATTTAGTGGTTGAAATTCGAATGCCTTGACGACTAAGTCATCGGCTTGTGGAACGGTCCAAGGTCCGAACCCCGCTACACTTTGGTTTGGATAACCGGGTAGTACCACTACCCTTTAGGGTGTGGCTGATATCCGAATTCCCGATGAACGAGTTAGCTTATTTTATACGTATTTTTTAACGCGAATCCAAGTATTATACCAATGAAATGAATAAAAACGTAATTTATTTGTAACACACAAACAGTCGGTTGATGATGACTACCAACCTTCAGAAATATGAAAGTAGGAAGTATGCACGAATTTCTTAAGACAAAAGTGTTAGAATAATCAACTCTGTTGCTAATTGACTAAATGAGAATTCTGTAAAATGCCGTTTCTTTAATGAACAATTTGAAATAGAGAAAATGAGGTTGTTTTTTTTAAAGAGGTATTAAATTGAGAAATGGAACTCACCAACAACGATACGAGCTAGGTTATCAGCCCAACAGAACATTTCATCCATACCGGCTAGAGCTAATGCATACACAGATGATCCACCAATTAAGACTATAATATTTGATTCTTTATCCATATGGTAACCACTTTCAAAACCTGTGATTTCATCCACAGGTGATGGACCACCAACACTTGATGCTAAATTTGATGCTGTTGCGAGTCCTGATAAAGTGTTCCCTGAAGCAGTATTATAAGAATGAGCTGCAGTATTAATTAGTGGACCACTAGAAGTTGTAATCGATGAACAGTAATTGGCTAATGTGGAGGGTGGAGAAGTTAAAGTATTTTGATAAACTGATAAGGTATGATTGTGATCAGATGATCTTTGTATAATATTGGGAGTATCATTAAGTAAAACACGGGATTCTGGAGAAATTGGCAATTCATGTAATTTGCGAACAGCTGGAAGCATTGCAGTAAGCACTGAACCTGAATTACGATAAGCTGCAAAATCATCGTAACTTTTAGTGATGTATAAATGTAAAGCGTCTAAAAAATAAAATAAGAAGAAAAAACATTCTAATATGGATCAACTGACAGAATAATAAGAAAAAAACAGATTGCTAATTACTTCGACGCATTCTGGCATTTTGATATTGATGAATTATTGGAATGGTAGCGGTGAATTTAGATGCATAGTCCGGGGTTTAGACACAACAATAGAGGGGAATATAATCGCCTGTGATTGCTCAATGATGTGAACGATGAGTGCTTTACTTTAGGACATAAAATCATTAAAACATAATGAAGCGTTAAAATAAATGGATAAATATCCAACCTGTAAAAAAGAGAACGTGTCGAGTAAAAAACTAATTTTTTTAGTTAAATAAGTAAGATGATAAGCAGTATTTTTAGGAAGCAATTTGAATTATAACTCTTCAATTATATGATGGGAGTTTTCATAAATGTGACATGCATACACATTGGTTTACAAAAGTAAAACAACTATGATGGGATTAGACATAAAGATCACTGAGTATGTAAGTCATGGCATGTCGTAAGAGAAAATAGTCACAACGGTTACGTATGTAACAAGCTGATATAATATGCTTCAGTTCAACCGATATTATATAATAAGGTAGAGTCTTTACTATATACTATTAACGAAACAATTATTATTAGTTATATCATTAGTGGCAAGAGTTTGATATGTAAAGGACTGAAATTTTAATCAATCTTTGTTGATATGAACATCAACACTGGGATGCTGATAATATTTAACCAATACGTACCAAACAGGACGAAACACGTATCTTGGATTTCCCTGCTAGTCACAACCCGCCTACTCTGAATTTTTATTACAGTCAAAAAATTAGACGATGTAAGGATAAAGACAATTAGTAAAACTAATACATTGATGACCAGTATCGATTTTATCATCTAAATGAAAAAAATATGGATAGGACGGAATAGAGCATTCTCTAAACTGGAAATAGAATGCCAAACGTTTGTTATGCCGGAACTCATATTTTATCTTTGAAAAGAAAAAACTATCTAGAAGCTTTTGAAATGAAATAAGAGAGCAATGGGAAAAAATTATTCCAGATAAATTGATTGTATTTAAGTGGTATTCCGTAAAAGCTTTAATAAAAATGTTATTTTAATATCTTTTTTTCAACGATATTCCCCCGCAAAGCATAATTCGACCGTAATATAGACCGGAGTTCACCTTAGAATGACCTTGAGACATACACGTGATGGCAGGGTGAAGGTTAGCAAAAAAGGTCTGAACGAAAGCCAATTTCTGGTTGCTTAAAATATATTTATTCATAAAATGAGTCACGATGATAAGAAGTGTTGTTCCTACTAATTGGATTTATCTTGATAGTAAAAACAGAAGACTTATATTACTACAAATAATAGAAAATCGTGTATGCAAATTTTTACAACTGTCAGACCTGAAGACTTTCGTACAAAAGAAAACAAGTGATTTTGTCTTAGAGATAGTTTCACATGCCGTTATATTTCTTTGGCAGAGAGGTGTGTTAATGGCTAAAGCCCCTGATTTTTAACTAATAGGTAGGATTGATGATGTACCGACATTATTACGATAGTATGAACCATTGTTAAACAATCAGTTGGATAGAACTCATCGGTATGCATCAACTTCTTTAACTATGAAAGCATTCAATAATGTGCATAGAAAAATCTTGTGGAATTATCAATATTGCAGAGTGTTTAAAAAGATCATCACCATCATGCAGAACTCTTACGAGGGACAAAGTCGAAATCTCATGTATGTAAAGCAGGTAACAGATACATTGTAAGCGAAGATTGGTGTTAAACAAGGTTGGCTGTTTCGCCTTTCATTTTTTCCGTTCGTTGTTGACTGGATCATAAAGACATATATAGTTCATGAAAAGGACGGAGCACAGTGGACAACTTGCATGCATCTAGATAAAATGGACTTAGCAGATGATTGTGCTCTGCTATTGTATACACAGTAGCAAAGGCAGACGAAGACAGCTATGTAGAAGCGGCCCTAACATTCAAAAGAGAAAAGGCAAGATTCTTAGGTACAAAACTGAGAGTACCCACTAATTCACACTTCGTGTGAGGAGGTGGAAGCTTTCATGTGCCTGGACAGAATCATCGATAAGCACAGGTGACTTGATGCAGATGTCGAGGCACGTATTGGCAAAGCAAGAGCAACATTTTTACAATAGGAGAATATTTGGAACTCAAAAGAACTGTCCATAAAGAATAAAGGCAGAGTTTTGGACACTAACGATAAATGATTCCACTGAACAGAATTAAAACTCAGAGAACTATCACAGCCATTATCAAAATTAAGGGTATTATTAAGAAGCAATTTACGCAAGATCCACTGAACAATTGCCATGAGCAATGACCTACAGTGGCAAAAACAAAGCAGGTAATTGAGAAAGAAATTAGGAAGAGACGTAGATAGGATACTTTGCGAAAACCATCAAACTGCATCACGAGGCAATTATTAGATGAGTGTCAATTTTACGATGGTCGTAACTAACGATAGATGATGATATCATCTTTGGTTTTATTTGAACTGCACTGCTTTCAAATAAAAAGAAATACCTACATCTACGAAGCAGAATGGATTAGATACTGAAAAGTTAACATGTAAGACTGAACTCAAATCATAATACGACTAGTTACTGGTAGCATGGGTGTATAGGCCAGTACACCTGCATTTAGAACAACAGATTGTATTCTGAGCATGCTGTATCATATAAAGCCCCCATGTTTCTCGATAGGTAACAAATTTGTTATCCTAAACAAACTTGCCTAACCGAAGGAGATACACCTAGTCAGTCACTTACAACGTAGGACCAGGCACATATATGCATCGGTCCAAGATGCTACACCTCATTAGCACAACAAGATGAACACCAGTTCCATAGAAGTAGTTAATTCAATGGTGGTAATATATAAAAGAAAGACTGTATATAAGGATGTATTACAGGAAGAAAGAATTAGTTCACAGAAAGAAAGATGTGAAGCGATTTTAATCTCTTAGTTTAAGGGAAGACAGAGAGTGTATACCTCTAACAGCACTCAAGATACACCTAATGATACAAACAAATGTCAAGACGAGTTAGGTTTAAGGTTAGTTGTCAATCCAGTGTGAAGTAGAGATTTACTGCACCTGCAAAATACCGTGGAAATGAGATTCTGTAGAATACTTACAGTTTACTGACTTTTTAGACTATGGTGGCTTGTGATGAAAAATAAAATGAATATATCGATTGATTAAAGAATCTCAAAGAGTACATGAAGACTATTAAACTTGGTTAGGATGCGATATCGAAATGGAAGTAACAGCTGGATGCAGCAATAAACTGAAGCTGTTTAAATTTACTTGAGCAACAAACATCTGGTGGCATTTGGTTATTGATACAATCAATTAGGGGCGTTTCAAGTTCACTGACAAATTCCAAAAACTACTGAAACCCTGGAGAGAACATCGTGAAAAGTTAGTTAATTGTCTCACTACTTTAGCTGTTTCGACTAACACATCATATAACCTAGTGAGTGACGGAAAATCGAACAAACTAAGCGGTTAGCAGATAATCATACCAAGTATTATTCACTACTCTAAAATGAGACCAATAATAGAAATGGCCGACTAAACATGTGCGGAAATACGCTTGGCATATGCTATTATGCATCCTGAATACTGGTTGCCATTGTACTACACAGATTAAGTAACACCTGAAATTCGACTTTATAGAAACAGATCTGTTGTTGAGTATATGGAATATTTAGTAATCTTTGGCCAGTTATCTATGATTCATTGGAGACGACTATTAAACAATGACATCGGTTTCCTCTTATTCCAAACCAAGACTGGTGAGGTATGGTTTATTTAGTGATTACCGTCGGTGATATTTTCAAGACAAAATTGAGGAGAGCACGATAGCAGTTCAGATGTGTTATTCAGAGAAACTTTTTAAGATACAGTCTACTAATGCTGTATTTAATTGCTGATTGGTATTTGTAGACAGGATGTGTGCTCTATACCGTCAACGTTTAAAATATCTAGTTATTGGGATGTCAACTTCAGTACAGTTGGGTGTCAGTGGAAGTTTGGTAGATGTGAATAGTCTACATATAACTAAATGAAAAACGACACTGTCCAGATTTTTAGAATCACAGTAACCTTAACCTAGCTTTGAAACGCTTCAGTGTGATCAGTTTGACTGGATTCTTCAGTCCGAGGGTTTTCAGCAGTTCTTCATGTTTAACAGACACCTCCAAGGTACTGCTATCACTTACGTATTGTTGCTTGCTTACATTATTTTCTTCTTAATTGATTAACATGACAACTTCATTTCATGTGGCGTATTTCATGTCAGAATAATACTGAGATTTTCAGTTCACAATAGCAGTTTTCAATGCTTGTCTTTTGGTGGTGACTTAAGTGAATGACTAGTACATAGGGACTTTTCAGTGCGTTTAAAAGAACACGTGTAAAATTATCGAATGTAAATCCAAGTACTACTTGAATTTTCGCAAACAATATCTAACAGCACATGATTAGCTTAAACTAAATTTAAGAAATCATGTATGGATTTATATTAGCTGTGAATTACCTATCAAAACAGAATGGCTATAGAAAAGAATCTTTCAATCGTCACTACTGAAATATAGACTAATTTTACTAGAAAATGAGAAATCCAAGAAAAGAAAGGTTGCTTGCATTATCCACTTGAAATTATTTATGCATAAACTTTCACTCTAAACGAGAGAGAATTGTATGGAACCAGTAGAATCGACGGTTGGGCTGAAATAGAAGAAATATTTAGATTACACTAATGATTGGTAATCAGTTATCCCAGTCTTTGATTGTATATATTAGTGCTCAAGTATTCTTCATTAGTAGACCCACTAACTACACCTTAATTTAATAAACCAGGAAAACTTTCACGATTAATAACCGACCGCTAAAAAAGTATGTAATTCGTTCAAACATACATGTGGTGTCCAGTGCCACCATAGCAGACCAGACA